TGCTGGAAATGGCGCACCTTGATTATCATACACATTGTAAGGAGAGTGGTCACTTTAGATAAGCTATTACCAGCAGGAGAGTGGGTTTGTGTGTGGGGAGTGGGGGGTGAGAAAACCTGGATTTTTGCTGGAAATGGCCCAACTTGATTATCATACACATTGTAAGGAGAGTGATCACTTTAGATAAGCTATTACCAGCAGGAGAGTGGGGTGGGAGGAGGTATTTTTTCATGCTTTGTGTGTATAAAAAGATCTTCTACACTTTCCACAGTATGCATCCGATGAAGTGAGCTGTAGCTCACAAAAGCTTATGCTCAAATAAATTGGTTAGTCTCTAAGGTGCCACAAGTACTCCTTTTCTTTTTGAGAAAAGGTGAGATATTATATAGCTAGGGTATGCTTGCCTAATATCAAACTCTCCTCAACTGAGTTTGACCTAAGGCCAAGTTTCTAGTCTGTGGAAGAGCTATGAAAAAGTGATATGATAGAAAAATGAGCATCTGTTATAGAACTGAAGACAGAAAGCAGGCAATTAAATTCTGGTGGTCTGATCTTGTATTCTTTTTGTGCCCCAAATTCAAGTCTACAGGAAATGTAGGTGCACAGAGAAGGTGGCCCTAGGTTCTCCGTTCTATTTTTTAAATTACTTGCACATGTAGCTTTTTATCTTCCTGCACTGCACTGGCATTGTATTGGATTTCACTCCAGGAACCTCTTGTATCCACTTTTAGGTTGGAGTAAATGCAGTGTAAGTTATTGGCCAGTTACTTTTTCTCTTTCACTTTTTTTTTAACTTTTTTCACAGCTTAGATGTAAATGGATTTCCTTATCAATTGCGATTAGTTCACAGGCTGAAGCTGATGTGTCACCTCAGTCTCTGCACTAGTTACAATCATTCACTGGCTTACTCCTCCTTACATACTGATTTAAACATGTAGAGAAAAATTAAGAAACTATCTTAATGATCCCCATGCTTATGAATAAGCAAAGTACTTTTGGTCATGAAAAAGCACTTTCATGGTGGTATCTGTTTTACAAGCCACCACTATCCTCATCAAAGCTGCACAAAACAGCTGGAGTAGAGCTCTCAGGACTGGCCATGAGATGAGCTATCTGAATGACCTAATGTGCAAACAGGACCATTCATTGTGAAGTGTAAATACAAATACATAGGTCTAGTGTAATTTATGCATGCTATACGGTGAGTTATGTACATGTTTTTCATGATCTGAACAAACTAAGGTCTAATTCTTTAGCATGTTAGAGGAGATTACACAAGCGATTCAGCCTGCATAAAAAAGAGGCAGACAAAATGGCAGAGGCAGCTTGGGAGGAGTCCTACAGCAATCAGCGGCATGTACTGCTTGTTGTAACAGCTGCTTAAAAATGCTTGGGTAGAGGCCTTGTCATGCCGCCTACCTGGAAGTCAGTGGTTTACTACCAGGCATGTTGACTAGAAGTCAGAAAGTGCTTTGTCAGCAGTTTTCTTACTCTTGTAAAAAAGTGCTAGGGAAGGAAGAGGCTCTGTTCTCTCTTCCTGGTCCCCACACATAGGTAGACAGCATGCAGCTCTGTAGCGACAGGTTAAATGCTACTAAATATAGAGACAGTTTTTGGTTCTCATGCAACGTGCAAGGGTGACGCAGTATTTTAAAAAGTAATATTGAAAGCTGCATGCAAGGGTTTAGCCACACAACTCCCACTTTAATCAATGGGAATTATAGAGCTAAAATGTCACTTGACTCTGAAAATTCACCGGAGAGTTTTCTAAACAAAATTTAAACTAATGCTGCTAATTAACCAACTGCTGGCATTAAACAGTAAAACTCGGAAAACTGTGCCCATTTTTCTCAGCACAGCAACCTGAATGCTCACTTGGTGCGAGCCATTTGTGGCCTTGTAAACCAATCTGAAATTGAAATAGACATTTTTAAATTAAACCTGGCATTTCTAAGCCTATTGCTGGTAATATCCACCTTGACAAAAATAGATATTATTTGTGCTAACAGTAGCATTAGGAGCTGAGCACAAGAGATTATAAAACAGTTTCCATACTGCTTGAATATCAGGAAGACGACTTTGTTGTATGGAAATTTTTAATCATTATCTACACATTAAGGGCCAGTTCAGCTCCCAGTGAAGTCAATAGAAAGGCTTCCATTGATGTCAGTGTTTATAGAATTGGATCTTAAATACGAGTCAGGTCCTTGAGCTCCTTATTGGTCTGTAATTCTGGGTTTGTTATAAATTATGTCACACTTCCATAAGATGGTGTAACAGGGTATATGCTCCCTTTTGAGTTCTGAGGGGAACCCTCCTGAGCCAGTAAAACCCTACTTCAGCTTTGCCTGTAAGAATCCCAGTGGGACGAGAATGCTACCTGTGAAGGGAAAGAGGTGGTCTTGGCAAAACAGGGATTGACAGAGAGGTCTACTTTGCTGATGCTGGCTTTAGGGCCTAAAGTTGGCATTCTGTGAGCTGGCTGGCTTGGAGCCACCTCTCTCTCCCAGCCTGATGGATGAAGCTGGCTGTTGGTGGTTACAATGGTCCATGTCTGAAAACCAGAAGAGTAGTCCACAGAGGAAACCATAATTAGCAATACTAACTAACAGCAAGGGATGATGGGAAATAAAGGGAGTATATAAACAGTAGCCTTATCACCAAATAGAGAGAGACCAAAGGGCACTCAAGCTGTTCTGACGGTCTGTCCTGGAAAGTGTGGGTAAGAAGAAAAAACCCTTCTTCCGTCTCTTATTTTTGTACTCCTTTGTTTTGTAATGATTTTGATGTGGACACATGTGAAGTGTTTGAAACAGTCAGAGAGTGGCTATATCTTTTGTAGCAGGTTGCAGTAAAGGCCCCGCAGGGGATCTTTCTATTTAGATTCCAAATATATGCCTCTTTGGCCTGCAACAGGTGGCGACATATGGCAGAATACTGTGACAAGGCAATTTAATTACAAATGTGTATTATTCAAAAATAGAATTTACAATTTGTATGTAATGAGAGAAGACAGGACCAGAGCAGAAAATAATAAATACCATATACAGATATAACTGTTATATGACTATTGACAGAAAACACATTTTTATTTATTTTAGAAACACTTTATGAATGTGTTTGAATGCAAAATCAATATAAATGTAATAAGATTTTCTCTGTAGTGAGTGCTCCATATATGCACAAAGGTATATTAATGTTAATAAATTATGTCTAGTGTCATGGTAGCATTTGAAAATCATTGCATAACTTTTTTCATTTATATTACCGATAATAATTATTATCATTTACCTTACCTCTCATCCAATGATTGGGCCTATGACTTCAAAGATTAAGAGTAAAATGCTATGTTCATCTATCTAATAAGCTTTAAAATTAGCACTTAAACTGTAATGTCTCTGGGCCTAGAATTTCATAAACGAACAGCAAAATTTCCCTGGAGAAGTGCCATAGATTAATTTGCTGAATATAAATCGATTAGTACAGAATATCATCACCCTGAAAGAAGGGTGACTAAATTGAGTTGCCAATGGTATCTGAAAAAAAACAAAAGTAGCTATAATGTATACTTGCCATTAACATACACAAGCAGAAATCATAACTTCCTTGGATGAGAGTCCTCTCTGTCTTTTCATATTTGTGCCTGATCCTGCGAAGTGGGGAGTATAGAGGGATTTACCTTTCTCTAAAGTCAATGGGAGTTGATGGACCTCAGTAATGGAAAGATTGAGTTGTTCCATTTCCTTTCTTTCTTCCTTCTTCAGAAATACAATGTCAAATTTCATGATTATGTTATGTTTGGTATTTTAATACAAAATAAACACGTGGATTGTAAATCCCAGAGTCACATGAATTACAGAAAATGACTTCGTACAAGTTACTTCAAACTCTCTCTCATATATATATAATAGAAATTTTTTTTGATATTTTTAAACAGTATATATATAGAGAGAGAGAGAGCGAGCAAGAGAGAATATTTATTTATTTTATTTCGTACGGTACCTGGGCATGATCAAGAGGATTAAATACTAGAGCTAGTTAGAAAAGGTTAAATATTTTCTATGCAGAGTTTTGAAAAAAAAAATTCACAGAATTTGTTGCCAAAAAATTGATAGACTAGAGCAGTCGTTCCCAAACTTGTTCCACTGCTTGTGCAGGGAAAGCCCCTGGTGGGCCAGGCCAGTTTGTTTACCTGCTGCGTCCGCAGGTTCGGCCAATCGCGGCTCCCACTGGCCGTGGTTCGCTGCTCCAGGCCAATTGGAGCCACTGGAAGCAGCGGCCAGTACGTCCCTCGGCCCACACCGCTTCCAGCAGCTCCCATTGGCCTGGAGCAGCGAACTCCAAACCTGCGGTCGCGGCAAATAAACAAACCGGCCCGGCCCAGCAGGGGCTTTCCCTGCACAAGCAGTGGAACAAGTTTGGGAACCACTGGACTACAGTTTTGTGTAGAGAAAAGGCTATTTTTTGTTTAAAAATATCTAACCAAAATTTCTATTAGTTCTATGAAATACTGATTCATAAAACCATTAAGTATGTGGAAAAATCATCAGATATTGTATAAGTAAAGAATAAGCAAGTTAGTTTTAAGATGTTAAGTATTTAAAATTGTATTGTTTTTGAGAGAATCTTTAATATTATTGTAAATTTATGGTAGGTTGGTTATATGAACTTCCTTCTTACATAAGTTGATTTCATTCTACGCCAGTTTTAAATAATAACCATCTTCTGAAATAGGAGTGGAGTTTAGCCAGTGTGTTCACTTACTGCAAAATTCCATTGGCCATAGACCTATCTTCTTGACAAATGCTGTGTGTTAACATTTCATGAAGTTGTCTGCTGCTTTGTAGAAACTATGTCAAGTTCTGCAAATGGAAAATGTCAGGTAATTAGTCAAATGACTCCTAACATTGCTCTAAAATCAAATTTATTTTGCAGTGGGTACATTAGCAAGATTTTAATAAGGTCTTAATAACATTGCTTATTTATCATTTCCCCTGCAGGTACATCTACATCCCAATGGGAGGATCCCATGGCAGTGTGTTTGGGATGTTGTTTTCCACAGCAATCACGTTTTCATTTGTAAGCTATTGGCACGGGGGCCATAACTACCTTTGGTTCTGGGCAGCACTTAACTGGCTTGGAATAATTGCAGAAAATGGAGTCAAGAGGCTACTTTCTGTTTCATTTGTTCGAGACTTAATAGTAAGTTGAATCCCCTTGTGCTTCATGTTCATTTGAAATTCAAGTTTGGATTTTCTTTTAGAGTAGATTAAACCTAGTACTTAATGGATACAATGGTTGGTGCATTTTCCCCGGTCTGCCTACACTGCATAACTAAAGATGTGCAGTATGTCAGCTAACCAAACTGTGAGGGCTAGCAGTAGTGCAGACATGTTCTATGCTGTCGTAGTGTGAGCAAACAATGGCCAAGTTTATATGTCATCAAAATTAGGAGGTAGCTTTTCATCTGATTTCTAATTTCACTCTGGGTTGTCATTTTGATTGCTTTATGCTATTTAATAGTCATTATAAATAAGGAATGTGTCTTATTTAGTTACATCTCTTGAAATAAGTGTGTTTGTATCAGCCTCCCATAGCAAAATGCAATAGTGTGGTGTACTGGGAATCATATGGCATCAAAAGTTTGAGTAAGGATAGCAAATTTATCCTTAAAGAATTCAGTAGTGACTCCGATGCCGCTCTCTCTTCTCCCAGACCTGATATCACAGAACCATGGTGGAATGCTCCACCCGAACCTCAACACCTTCCACTTGACAGTTTGGAAGCTCCATGGTTAAATCCCGAAGAGCTGGCCTGTTCGGAGCAAGCCCATCAGGTTCTGCTAGGTAGCAGGAAGCTCTCTACCAGAGCTGCATGCCTTGCCAAGTAGAAGCGTTTTTCCATTTGGTCTTCCCAGCAAGGTCTCTTGCCCATCCGGTCGTCACTGCAGACCATTGTGGAGTATTTGCTACATCTGAACCCACAAGGTCTGGCAATTTCATCAGTTAAAGTATACCTGGCAACAATTTTGGCGTTTCACAGCCCGGTGGATGAGTGATCAGTATTTTTTGCATGAGATGACCATTTGTTTTCTCCAGGGCCTAGAAAGACTACACCCATAGATTCGGGAGCCCATTCCCCTGTGGGACTTAAACCTGGTCATGTCAAAACACAAAGGCCCCTAGTTTGAGCCACTGGCAACATGTTCCCTGTCGTACTTTTCCTGGAAGGTGGTCTTTCTGATGGCTATCACTTCAGCCAGGAGAGTCTCAGAGATCAGGGCCCTTATGTCAGAACCTCCATACACTGTCTTTTTTAAGGACAGGGTATAGCTTTGTCCTCACCCTATGTTCCTCCCAAAGATGATGATGAAATTTCACAGTAATCGAGCTATTTTCCCTCCGTTTTTTCCCCTGAACCTACATGCAAGCAGGAAGGAGCAACATCTCCACACACTGGGCATTGGACACACCTTGGCTTTCTATACTGAGAGCACAAGACCATTCCTTAGATCCACGCAGCTCTTGTGGCAGTAACAGACAGGATGAAGGGCCTTTCTATTTCAGCTCCGAGGATTTCATCCCAGATCACATTGTGCATCAGCACATGCTACAAACAGATAGGGGTCCCGCCACCACCAGTGATAGTGACGGCCCATTTTTCGAGGGTGCAAGCTTCCTCAGGGGTGTTCCTGGCCCAGGTGCCAATCCAGGACATCTGCAAAGTGGCAACTTGGTTGTTGGTACATACATTTTCATCCCCCTATGCCATCACCCAGCAAGCTAAAGATGACGCCCAGTTTGGTCAAGCTGTGTTGCAGTCAGCATGTCCATGATCCCACCTCCTATGGTACTGCTTGGGACTCACCTAATGTGCAATGGACATGTGCAAGCACTCGAAGGAAAAACAGTTACTAACCTTGTTGTTCTTCTAGATGTGTGTTTTACATATCCATTCCACAACCCACTCTTCTAACCCTCTGTCGGAGTTGACTGGCAAGAAAGAACTGAGGGAGTTTGGGGTTGGCGGGACCCCTTATACCAGCGCATGAGCAAGTGGCATCACAGGACACCAGTGCTGACCCAATGGATATCATTGAAGGAAAAATGTTTGGCAATTGTGCACGCAGCGCATGCACACCTAACGTGCAATGGACGTGCAACACATCTCAAAGAACAACAGTTTGGTTTTGTGCTGACTCGTAGCTGCACCAGAACCCCTATCTCAAACGTGTGCATTAAAAGTATTTCCAGTGCAACTGAGATGCAAAGTGAAATTGAGATGCACATCGGTGTAAAGGTTTTATTTCAGCTGGAAGTCTGTTGATGATGCACAAACCAGACTAGAATCCAGCTCATTCTTCCAGAGAAAGGAATAACAGGAAGTCTAGTTGAAGCTAGACAAATTCAGACTGGAAGTAAGATATAAAATTTTAACAGTGATCGTAAATTAATCACTGGAATAATTTACCAAGTGTTTTGGTGGACTCTCCATCACTGATAATTTTTAAATCAAGAGTGGATGTTTTTCTAAAAGATCTGCTGTGGGAATTACTTTGGGGAGGTTCTGTGGCCTGTGTGTTACACAGGAGGCCAGACTAGGTGATCATAGTGCTCCCTTCTGGCCTAGAATTTTTTAATCCCTTTGCTGTGTTGGCTCTCCAGGGGCTAATAGATGTAAAAGGTGAAAACTTATTTTTGTGACACAAATAAGCAGATGTGATTCTGAATAAACACAGGGAGCAGAGTAGGTCTGAGTGACATTTTTACACAGTCAGTTTGCTGACCCTAACCCTGCAACATAGTTAAGGTTCCTTAGAGACTAACCAATTTATTTGAGCATGAGCTTTCGTGAGCTACAGCTCACTTCATCGGATGCATACTGTGGAAACTGCAGAAGACATTATATATACAGAGACCATAAAACAATACCTCCTCCCACCCCACTCTCTTGCTGGTAATAGCTTATCTAAAGTGATCATCAAGTTGGGCCATTTCCAGCACAAATCCAGGTTTTCTCACCCTCCACCCCCCCCCACACACAAACTCACTCTCCTGTTGGTAATAGCCCATCCAAAGTGACCACTCTCTTTAAAATGTGTATGATAATCAAGGTGGGCCATTTCCAGCACAAATCCAGGTTTTCTCATCCCCCCCACCCCCCTCCAAAAACCACACACACAAACTCACTCTCCTGCTGGTAATAGCTCATCCAAAGCGACCACTCTCCCTACAATGTGCATGATAATCAAGGTGGGCCATTTCCAGCACAAATACAGGTTTTCTCACCCCCCCACCCCCATATACACACAAACTCACTCTCCTGCTGGTAATAGCTCATCCAAAGTGACCACTCTCCCTACAATGTGCATGATAATCAAGGTGGGCCATTTCCAGCACAAATCCAGGTTTTCTCACCCCCCCCCCCCCCAAACTCACTCTCCTGCTGGCAATAGCTCATCCAAACTGACCACTCTCCTTACAATGTGCATGATAATCAAGGTGGGCCATTTCCAGCATAAATCCAAGTTTAACCAGAACGTCGAGGGGGGAGGGGAGAAAAAAACAGGGGGAAATAGGCTACCTTGCATAATGACTTAGCCACTCCCAGTCTCTATTTAAGCCTAAATTAATAGTATCCAATTTGCAAATGAATTCCAATTCAGCAGTTTCTCGCTGGAGTCTGGATTTGAAGTTTTTTGTTGTAAGATAGCGACCTTCATGTCTGTGATTGCGTGACCAGAGAGATTGAAGTGTTTTCTGACTGGTTTATGAATGTTATAATTCTTGACATCTGATTTGTGTCCATTTATTCTTTTACGTAGAGATTGTCCAGTTTGACCAATGTACATGGCAGAGGGGCATTGCTGGCACATGATGGCATATATCACATTGGTGGATGTGCAGGTGAACGAGCTCTGATAGTGTGGCTGATGTTGTTAGGCCCTTTGATGTTGTCCCCTGAATAGATATGTGGGCACAGTTGGCAACGGGCTTTGTTGCAAGGATAGGTTCCTGGGTTAGTGGTTCTGTTGTGTGGTATGTGGTTGCTGGTGAGTATTTTCTTCAGGTTGGGGGGCTGTCTGTAGGCAAGGACTGGCCTGTCTCCCAAGATTTGTGAGAGTGTTGGGTCATCCTTCAGGATAGGTTGTAGATCCTTAATAATGCGTTGGAGGGGTTTTAGTTGGGGGCTGAAGGTGACGGCTAGTGGCGTTCTGTTATTTTCTTTGTTAGGCCTGTCCTGAAGTAGGTGACTTCTGGGAACTCTTCTGGCTCTATCAATCTGTTTCTTCACTTCCGCAGGTGGGTATTGTAGTTGTAAGAATGCTTGATAGAGATCTTGTAGGTGTTTGTCTCTGTCTGAGGGGTTGGAGCAAATCCAGACTCCAGCGAGAAGCTGGTGATTGGAATTCATTTGCAAATTGGATACTATTAATTTAGGCTTAAATAGAGACTGGGAGTGGCTAAGTCATTATGCAAGATAGCCTATTTCCCCTTGTTTTTTTCTATCCCCCCTTCCCCTCCCCCCCCAACGTTCTGGTTAAACTTGGATTTATGCTGGAAATGGCCCACCTTGATTATCATGCACATTATAGGGAGAGTGGTCACTTTGGATGAGCTATTACCAGCAGGAGAGTGAGTTTGTGTGTGTATGGGGGTGGAGGGGTGAGAGAACCTGGATTTGTGCTGGAAATGGCCCAACTTGATGATCACTTTAGATAAGCTATTACCAGCAAGAGAGTGGGGTGGGAGGAGGTATTGTTTCATGGTCTCAGTGTATATAATGTCTTCTGCAGTTTCCACAGTATGCATCCGATGAAGTGAGCTGTAGCTCATGAAAGCTCATGCTCAAATAAATTGGTTAGTCTCTAAGGTGCCACAAGTACTCCTTTTCTTTTTGCAAATACAGACTAACACGGCTGTTACTCTGAAACCTATAGTTAAGATTGTGTTACAGAGTTCAGTTTTACAGGAGCATTAAACTTTTATTTTATAAAAATCAAGTTGAAATTGCATTAAAAAATTCATGGAATCTAAAGTCTGAGCACTACTTGAATGCGTGTGGTGGTTTACTGAACAATGAACTGATACAGAGTTAATACCAAGAGTTTATAAATCACCTCTTTTGACATTTTTTCATGGGATTGTCTCACTTTTTCTTTGTACCTCTTTTGCGAGTAATCTAAAGCATTCTGAGACCAC